TGAAAATATGGCAGAAATTCAAAATTTGATGGAAAAAATTTGTCGCCTCTCAGATATGAAAGTCAATTGGGGTAGCAAAACAACTGGTTGGTGGATCCATCATCAAGGAGGGAGACCTCCCGAATTGCCAAAAATAAAGTGGTTACCCCTGGATACCCCTATTAAATTATTAAGGATTTCTCTTTCTGCTAAGCGAAAAACAAGAAACCATAATGAATGGATCTTCGAACCGTCTCAATCTAAAATGGAAATGTGGAAAAATAAGCATACATCCATTTTCGGACGATCAATGATAATCAACAATGTTATCCTAGCATCTATATGGTACAAATCAGGAATTTGGTCTCTGGATAAACACTCTCTTAAATCTCTACGACGACAACTAACTGTTTTTCTATGGAGGGGAAATCATGAACATAGCAAAGTCATCAACAGAGTAGCATGGCAGTCCATTATACAGTCAAAAGTTGGGGGAGGCCTGTGGATTTTGGATCCTTTAGCCCAAGTCAAAGCTCTTTCAATTCAATGGCTTCAAAGATTATTATTCATCCCCCACACTCCATGGACACCATTAGCCTTGGAGCAAATTAGGAGACTAGCTCCACCAACACCGGAAGGAATTGACCTCTTGACATGGTTAGAAAATCGTTCTTGGACTATTCCTAGGGGAATCTCTAAACCTATTATGACACCTGTGACCTCGAGTAGACAAGCGGTCAGACTTGATTTGAAAAATGATCCTTTTTGGGTGTCTATGTTGAAAACCAGGAGACAATTTCCCCTTACGGACAAACTATCGCCAGAAAGATGGGAAGAAGTGTGTCAACAACCTATTTTTTATAATAGGTGGATTCGCGATTCCCAAGAATTTGTTCTACATTGTATGCATTCTCCTTGGAAGGGATGGATTAGTAATGGGATTATGAGGATAAAAGATATATTGGATATTGATACCAACGAATGGATCGACCCAACTAAACTAAGGGCAAGGCTAAGATATTGTCATCATTCAAAGGAAGCACTCGAAAGGATAATCGAACTCATCCCTCTTGAATGGTTTCGTATTCTTAAGAAAGATCCAAAATTAATGATAAATGATTGGGTTGCTTTCAAGGATCAGTCTGAATCAATTGGTTTAATTTTCGACCAAGACCAAAATGAGAGATTTCTGCTACAAAATTTTTCCTTGTCATCCACCAATATAGTTGTTCCTAAGGGGCAGGAAGAAACCGTTTGAGTTCAGACACAACAGATCTTCAGAATAAGGGTAATCAGAACTAAAGATTCTTGAGTGGCCTTTAAACCAGACTGTCCCATACCGGAACTCCCTCTCGACCCGGCTAATTGGGTTTGGAACTCGGTCACAAGAATAGGAAGTCATAACAGATCATTCAAAAGAACTATTCACTCACTCAAAGTCAAATCAGCCTACCGAATGCTTCGCCCTAGAATTAACTTAAAAGACGAGGTTTCCAGCAGATGGAGAGAACATCTTAATGTTAGACAAGAAGAATTGAGGTCTGTCAGGTGGTTTAAAATAGTCAAGGAGAAACCAACCAAAATTGCTTCACTCCAATGGCAAATTGAACATAGGTGTCTACTAGTCAATGACTGGCTGATTGACAGAACATCGTTGGAACAAAAAGGACTAACAGAAAGATGGTGTAAGTTATGCAAATCAACTTTCCCAAGTCGAACTTGTCCTGAAACTATAGAACATATCTTTATGCAATGCCCGGGCTCAGTATGGCTTTGGAGGTGGTGGGATCGAATCTGGTCATGTTTAGTCCCACAGRTTCCTTGGCCATGGGAATGGAAAGCTATTCTTCTTGAGACCTGGAGCCTGGACCCAGAATTAGTGGGAAATGATGGAGAATTTGTGGAAAATCTATTTAGCGTGGGGAGAAGAGCGGTATTGTGGGCTATATGGAAGAAGAGATGCACGTATGAATGGGAAAGGGCTAGACTAGATGGACCTGAATTACAGACAATATTAAACAACAAATTCAAACGGATATATTAAGTAAATTGGATCGAACAAAGGAAAAAGTTCAATTTCTCTCAGACAAAACAGAAATTCAAAGTCATTTTCATAAATTCAGTCGTAATTGACTGGGCGGAAACCAGGGTGGGAGAATTGGTTGTGTCGTTTGGAATGGGGCTGGAAATGAAGATGATACTGGAATGAAAAGAGACTATAAATTGATTTTCGATGACTGGACTACTATAGATGCATCAATTCCCATGCGTCCGCTATCAGATTTCCCAGATCCTTTTCCACCCCCAGCAACAGCTCTTGTTCCCAGCTCATGGTATGGATTATAGAATTATCACTACTAGTTTCAACAGGTATATCTGACGTCCTGGAATGGATGAAGAGGTAGTGATGTTGTTTCAATTTCTGTTGGCAGGTAGGGAGTGACAGTCTTTTTCAATTCAAGAATCCTTTTTCTTATTTATTCTTATTCTCAAAATGCACTCAAGTTGT